TATATATATATATATATATATATATTATGTGAGAGAGAGAGAGTTAATTTGTTTTAAAAAATATTTAAATTCAATCAATGGATAATAATTATAATAAATAAAAATTTAATTAGACATGAAATTAAAAGAATTTCTAAAATTCTCTCATTATAATTTTTTTAAAATATTATCATAATATAGAATTTAATTTAAAAATGCCTATTTGTATAAATTTTAAATAAAAGTTATATATTCAAACATAATATTTATGTATATATATAATAATTTATTAAATACACATGCATATTTATTATATATAATTAAAATATACAATAACTTATATATAAATGAATATTATACTTAAATATATAAACTATATAAAACCAGTATAAATAAATATGTTAATTATTGATAATTGATTTTGAAGTATTAAAAATCATATTAATTAAATATTTAATTATATTACTGTAAAAGAATTAACAATAATTAAATAATATTATTTTAACTTTTAATCAATTCATATATATTAAATCTAAATAACTAATATGTAGGAGAATAATTTTAGGAGCCATTATTCAATAGAAGCATTTTGAGAGATTTTCTTTAACTTTCTATTAAATTCAATTTTTTTATTTATCACATTTACATGTGAAATACATTTTAATATTTTAAAATAAATTATTAATAATTAAATTAATATATTTATTTATTATATATCTAAAATATAATTTATATATTTAAAATATTTACTTGTATTAGTTTAAATATAATTTATATATTCAAATTTATTATTTATTTATATGTAATTTATTATAAGTATTAGTTATATATAATCAATATTTAACTTATGAAATACACATATTAAAATACTAGTATAATATATTATTCTTAATTTTGCAAATATTATAAAATTTATTTACAAATATCTTTTTCGCATATGATCTTTATTGTCTTTATTATAAAATATTTTTAATCAAATTACACACATTAATATAAGTAATTATACTAGTTATTTTATTAAATTTATAAAACAAAATCATGGTATATCAATTCTATCATTATTAATTTTCCTTTTAGGGTCAAACTAGATTTCTACAAAAAAAAAAAAAACTCTAAAACATCCTAAGACTCATCAAGAATTCCTCAACTCTCAAAATTTTTAAACACTTCGCCTCAGAATATTACAACATATAATTATTGGTAAAAATACAACAATTTAAAAAAAGTTACAAGATATATATGAGGAGAGATGGAGATCCACTTATTTAAAAAATAAATTTTGATAAACTTACTTTATTCAATAACTAATATTCCACATTGAATTTCAACCTTCAAACTATTAAATTAAAAAGTTTTAACATCAATAGTTTTTAAGTAAGTTAATCCAATGAAAGTATTTTTAGAGAATAATCAAAATTGTATCTAAAAAAACAAGTTGACTAAAATATGAAAGATAAATAACTAAAATAATCATTTTAAAAAATAAAGAACAAATTTTTTAAAAATAAAATAAATGATTAAAAATACAATTTAGCCTATAAAAGATACAATACAATTCTTCAAAAATTTATCACTTTCTTATTTTCTCTCTACTATACCAAGAAAAATATTTATTGTGTAATTATTATTTTTTATTAATTTTATGAAAAATTAATGCATTTATTGTTTAAATTGCAATTTATTTATTTGAAATGTCTTAAATTTAATATACATATTTATTATATTTAATAAATTTAAAATATACTATATTTAATAAATATAACATTGATTATTATCTTTCTAGCCAGTTTTATGATATTTAATAAAATATAAAATATAATTTAATAAACAAATATAATAACTAAGTATAACGGTCACTTTAACTATTCATCAAAATTAACAAATATAACATTTAAGTATATAAAAATTATATACTAACAAGTCATTAGTTTATGTGATATTAAACTTACTCTCTTTGGGCCTTAAACAAGATATTGAGTTTGAGTTAGGGATATAAGTATATATGGATAACTTGACAATCCGAACTAATCCAATGATATCAAATCATATTTTTTAATTGCTCAAGTCAAAGTCATTCCAATCCAATCAAAACTTGATACTATATCAATTAGATAACAAGATTGGTGGTGTTTTGACATGTAACCCAACTCAACCTGATTATATATATATAATATAATAATAATAATAATAACAATAACAATAATAATAACAATAATAATAGTAATAAGTTAGTGTGATATGGGGATGTTAACGGGACATGACAAATATGGATAGTAACCCCTCGTTACCTGTCTCACCAAATAAATATCTTCTCATATTCATTTCTATATCCATGTAGGTATCTACTAAGCGAGAATCCATATATCTTTTTAATAGTTGCAAGTACATGTAGATATTTAAAAAAATATATAATAATTTTCAAAAACATTTTAATAATGATTTGTATTTATTTTAATATTTATTAAAATATTAATTTAAAATTCAAATTTTAAAATATTAAAATATTATACATAATTTTATTAATCAATATTCTTCTATTTAAAACTAAATTTAATTGTTAAAGTACTTTATTCCCAAAAAGTTTTAAAATTTTAATATATAATTATGTACTTGAATATTTGCAGGTAATTGTGAATACAAATATTATGATATGTATCTGTTTCGTTCACATGCGAGTATATAAAATAATCGTACCTATTATTTGTGAATAGCCATTTAATATCATAGCAATATGGATACGATTTTTTTTACATCCTTAATGTGATCACTTGTTAATAACAATATTTGTTATCACTCTCATTAATGAGTATTGTGTTTTTTAATTGATAGCATTTAATAATGAGTTAATCACATGTACACTATCAGTATAAAGTTTTTTTACACTAGCAACTAATCAGATCTTTTTATAGTACCATGTCAGTTGCTTATTTAATTAAATAAAAATAAAATAAAATAATTTAAAAGATTTGATTGGTTGTTAGTGTAAAAAAACTTTATACTAGCAGTGTATTGGTGATTAATTCTTTAACAATATAACACTTTTATTTTAAAATTTATTTTGTATTAATGCTAGTTTTTTGAGTTTATTACAATGTAACAAATCAATAAATTTATTTTGAAGTTTAGTTTGAATCATTATATGTTTATTGTTGATAACATTGTATTTACAACAAAATATTAAATGATTTACGTTTATTATAAAATATTTAATTTTTTTTATAAAAAAATTTAATAATGTCGACCCAATTGATCCAACCTAATCTGACATGTTTGTGATCAAATTGGATTAAGCTGATTTTTCATTAAAAAAAATACAGAAATCGTCCAAACCCAACTCATTGAGTTATGATTGGGTTGGATAACACATTGATCCGAACCTTGTCCAACTCAATTCACTTACACTCCTAGTTTGAGTTTTTTGTATAAAAAAATGCAATTGGAAGAGAAAATTCCATTAAAGGCACTAAGGCAGCTAACTAAGTTCTCTGACTGAGAATAATTATTAGCAAAATCGATGGATATATCATACCAATAACATAATTATCCAAAATCAACCACTACTTATTAAACATTAGTTTTTATCTTGAGATTTTTTTTAAGATTTTTTTTTAATTAGAGTCTTTCTATTTTTTTTATAGTTTTATTTTTATGTATCATATTTATTTAAATTAAATTTTAACGTTTTTCTAAATAATTTTGACTAATTTTTTTAAAAAACTTCTTTAACTTTATTTATTTATTTTAATTTTAATTTTTTTTATATTTATATATAAATTAAATTTTAATAATTAAAAATAATTTTATCTTATAATATAAAATATAATTTATTTATTATAATAAATATTTAGTGTGTTCAATATAAATAA